CTCTGCAGGGAGTTTGCTTTTCCCTTTCCCTCTGACCCTCCCCACCCCCTGTTTGGCTCGTGTTTTCTCTTGCTCTCTATCTCTCAAATAAATAGATAAAATCTTATTTATTTATTTATTTTTAAGATTTTATTTATTTATTTGACAGAGGGAGAGAGAGATCTCAAGTAGGCAGAGCCCCACACAGAGAGAGAGTGGGGAAGCAGGCTCCCCGCTGAGCAGAGAGCCCTATGTGGGGCTCGATCCCAGGACCCTGAGATCATGACCTGAGCGGAAGGCAGAGGCTTAACCCACTGAGCCACCCAGGCACCCCGATAAAATCTTTTTTAAAAAATAGGGAATAAACTGAGTTGTTGGAGGGGAGGTGAGTGGGGGCATTGAGTAAAATGGGTGATGGACATTAAGGAGGGCACTTGATGAAATGAGCACTGGATGTTATATGCAAGTTATGAATCACTAAATTCTATCCCTGAAACTAATACTACACAAATGTTAACTAACTTGAATTTAAATAAAATCTAAAATAAAAAATAAAGGCTTCCACAGTAAAGGAAACCATCAATAAAGTGAAAATGCAGCTACTGAATAGAAGAAAGTATTTGCAAATCATGTACTTAATAAGGGGTTAATATCCAAAATATGTAAAGAACTCCAACAACTAAATAGCAATAAAACAATCCAAATAAAAAATGGGCAGAATAGACATTTTGCAGAGAAGACATACCAGATGGCAAACAGGTCCATAAAAAGGAACTCAGGACCACTAATCATCAGGGAAATGCAAATCAAAGCTACAATGAGATATCACACTACACATGTTAGAATGGTTATTATCAAAGACATGGAATAACAAGAGTTGGCTAGGATGTAGATAAAAGGGAACCCTTGTGCACTATTGGGGGAAGTATAAATTGGTGCAGCCACTATGAAAAACACTATGGAGGTTCCTCAAAAAATTATAAAGAGAACTATGATATGATTTAGTAATTCCACTACTGGCTATCCAAAGGAAATGAAAACACTAAATTGAAAAGATCTCTGTACCTCCATATTCGTGGAGCATTGTTTACAATAATCAAGACATGGAAGCAAGCTATGTGTTTATCATTGGATGTATGGATAAAGAAATATATATATTTATATATACATATAAAATATCTAATATATACCTATATATAAGGGACTGTACATACATATATATATGTAATATATATACAATATTATTGAGCAATAAAAAAGAAAGAAATCTTGCCATTTATAACAATATGAATGGATCTTGAGAGAATTCTGGTAAGTAAAATAAGTCACTAGAGAAAGACCAATACCATATGATCTCAACTGTATGTGGAATCTAAAAACAAGCAAAAAGCAAAAATATCTCATAGATACAGGGAATAAGTTGCCAGAGGCAGGGCATGAGAGGGTTGGTGAAATGGGTGAAGGTGACTAAAAAGTACAGACTTTCAGTTAGAATAAATAAGTCCTGCGGATATAATATACAGCATGATGACTAATTAATACTGTATTGTGTATTTGAAAATTGCTAAGAGAGTAGAATTTAAAAGTTCTTATCATAAGAAAAATAATTTTAGGGGGCGCCTGGGTGGCTCAGTGGGTTAAAGCCTCTGCCTTCGGCTCGGGTCATGATCGCAGGATCCTGGGATCGAGCCCCACATCGGGCTCTTTGCTCAGCGGGGAGCGTGCTTCTTTCTCTCTCTCTGCCTGCCTCTCTGCCTACTTGTGATCTCTGTCTGTCAAATAAATAAATAAAATCTTAAAAAAAAAAAAGAAAAATAATTTTAACTGTGTGGTGACGGGTGTTAACTAGATTTACTGTGGTAACCATTTCACAGTATTTGCAAATATGAATCATGTTGTACACCTGAAACTAATATGTTATATGTCAATTATATTTCAATAAAAATAAGCTTAAAAATGAAGTTTGAGGGACGCCTGGGTGGCTCAGTTGGTTGGGCGGCTGCCTTCGGCTCGGGTCATGATCCTGGTGTCCTGGGATCGAGTCCCGCATTGGGCTCCTTGCTCGGCGGGGAGCCTGCTTCTTCTTCTGCCTCTGCCTGCCTCTCTGCCTGTGCTCGCTCGCTCTCTCTCCCTCTGTCCCTGACAAATAAATAAATAAAATCTTTAAAAAAAAATCTTAAAAAAAATGAAGTTTGAACATACAAAAAGCTGAATTTTTATCAAACTAACATATGTCTTTGTTGTGGGCATAATACATTCATGTGAGGTTATGAAGATATGATCTGGGTTTTCAATAAATTATTATTTTTTTAAGTTTCTTGGGGCCCCTGGGTGGCTCAGTTGTTAGGTGTCTGTCTTCAGCTCAGGTCACAATCCCAGGGTCCTGGGATCGAGCCCCACATCGGGCTCCCTGCTCAGTGGGAAGCCTGCTTCTCCCTCTCCCACTCCCCCTGCTTGTGCTCCCTCTCACTGTATTTGTGTCTCTCTCTGTCAAGTAAATAAATAAAATCTTTAAAAAATTAAAAAAGTTTCTTTCGCCTTTCACTGGGCCCCAGAGAATGTGGTGGAGTCTTATTCCAGGCAACAAGGATATTCTCACAAGCAGTCCTGCAGGAATAAGAGAGGATGTTGGGTCAGGTCCGAGGGGAGAAATGGCCTAAGTCTACCATTAAGGCATAACTCCTGGACTCCAGGAGCACTAATACGTATCTTCAGCACCCACATTTTTCTTTTCCACTTTGCAATTTCCCTTTGCTCCAAAATCTGGATAAAATTGTAGAGCCTGGATGCGGCCGTGCTTTGAGGAATTAAGGGCCTGGTTCTCTGATGGCCTGAGGCAGCACAGAAGGGACAATAGCTGCACAGAAAAGACAGGTAAAAGGTAGCAGTAAGTCACCATTAGGGGAGCAGGTGGCTGGTGATTGCTGACACAGATGATTGGAACACGCAAGCATTCATCAGAATCCCCCAGATGTAATGGGGAGAGGAATCAGATGAAGAGGTATACTTCCTAGAGGCAGTCAGACATAATGCAGAACTGTTGTCACCTGAGCTTTATAAGAAACTGACCCTTAAATGTGGAGATTTCACAACCCAAGTTACATCTAACTTTTTTCCTGCCCACATTAAAACTGGCCTCCTCCCCTACCATAGTCTACCCTAATGTGGGTAAAACTTCATTTCCTGGAATTCAAGACCTGATAAACTTTTTATTATTTACTTGACAATTTATAAATGTTTAGCAATCAGGGTGCCAGGGTGGCACAGTTGGCTAAGCATTTGACTCTTGGTTTCAGCTCAGGTTGGGATCTCAGGGTCCTGGGATCAAGCGCCCTGTCAGGCTCCAAGCTCAGCGAAGAGTCTGCTTAGGATTCTCTCTCCCCCTCTTCCCCTCCTCCCTCTCTGAGTAAATTTTTAAAGTTTAGTATCAATATTGCCTCTTACTAAGATTTTGGTTGTGTTAAGGAGTAGCAAGAGGCATTCTGCAAAGGGAATGAATCTGGCCCTGTATTTTAAGGTTAGCTCCAGTTAACTACTCATGTAATAGACATTTATTAAGCATTTACAATATGCTGAGTCCAAGCACTGAATAGGAAGACAACATGCTCTTCCATGATGTCAGGATATAATAGGAGAAAAGACATTTTCATCAATAATAATGACACAATTTGAGAACTCATAATAGAGGTCAATTAGGGACATATTGAGTGCTTTCTCCATCATTTTTACCACAGGAAAAAGCCCATGAGGGAGTGGAGAATGGAGATGGAGTCATACCTGAGGAGTGATACAGGTTCCACCACTGACCAGTTCTGGAGCAAATTTTCTTTGCTTCCTCATGAACAAGATGGAGATTTCATAGGGAAGTTGGGAGGATTAAATTGAGAAAATGAATGTGAAGTATTTAACAAAGTTTCTACCACAGAATGAATAACAATATTATATTTGCTTTGTGCTTCTTCATAGAGAAGTATCTACCACCTCTAAGCTCCTTTGCCTATAATTGGAGAGATTCCTTCTGATATAAGTCAGCAAGTTATTAGTTCAATAAATTAAAAAAACAGAAAAGACAAAATTTTAGTTTTATACATATACTTAGCACTATGGTATGTTGGGGTGTGTATACTGTTAGAAAATAAGCTTAGTTTTTTGAGTCTAGGTGATGCTCATCAGACAGACATTTAGAGGTCTGAAATTCACCCCATGAAGATTAGTAATGAGTAAAGGTTATGAAATCTGCTCTAGAACAAAAATAAATGAAACCTTTTAGGTGAAAGGGAATATAGCTCTATGAAATTCTTGGAAATGCTGGGAAATAAACTGGATATACATACATCATGTTAAACACCTGCCAGATTTGAAAAGGCGGATGATTTTAACACTTGCCCCTTGACCTTGGGACAATCAGGGTCTTCTGGCTTCCCAGGTATTGTACCTCCCACAGAGTCCCAGAGTAAAATGGACTCAATAACTATGCCAAGTGGAATCTGAAGAGATGTATAATCTGAATAGGGTTTTATTTATTTTTATGTTTAAACACTCTTCATTTAATGAATGTACATTTATAAGGCAAATTAAAATGACCACACAAACAACTACCCTCATAATAGGTAGTGGTTACTTACAAAGTGAAAGTAATAAATGCAGGCAAATGCAGTAGTACCTGTCAAACAACTTAGATGAGAGATGGCATGTACTAAAAACGTTTCTGGTGAATGGAAAAATTGGCCCAAGACAAATACATTGATGTCTATAGATGCATGTGAAGAGTTCAAATGAAATGTGGAAAAGAAAAAATAAAATATTTAATATATTAAATAAATAAAAGCTTAATTACTAAAATGAGTTCCAAAAGTGGATGAATCCCTCCTCCTACATTATTGTATTTTTATAGATGGTATATTTTTATTCAGATCCCATCCCCGAGCCATCAATTCCCACTTCACTTGTACTTTCCTGAGCCTCATTCTCACTCAGTGCTTGAGATGTTTGATATATTTAGCTTCTTCCTCTCACTACTTTTATGGCTCTGATTCTTCCTCTTCTTCCTCTTCTTCCTCTTCTTCCTCCTCTTCCTCTTCTTCTTCCTCTTCCTCTTCTTCTGGCTGAACCTCTTCTGCTGCCTCTTCTGAACCCTTTTCTTTGGGCTCTGGAGGAGCTTTTCTTGAATGTTTACACAAAAGGCTGATAAAAGCAGTTACTAATATTAATAGTAGGAAAAAAACTATGAGAAATATTATGATCATATTGTCTGTGAGATGTTCATGTTTGGCAACATTGAAAGCACTTTCAGATTCCCGTTGTACAACAGGAGAGCCACTGTCCACACTACCCCCAGTTCCTATAGTTGTGCAGTCAGGAGGGGCATAGCCAGCCTCACAATGGCAGTGCTTTAAATTGTTGCAAACTCCTCTCCCATTACACATTCTTCGTGGTTCACAGTCGTAGTTCAGCACAGCATGATCAATGCAGGAGTAATTCAGACAGATTTTTTCTGGAGCACAACGTGTGCCAGCATCCACATCTCCATCATCAGGGATATCAGTATTATTAAAGGCATCCATGCTCCAGCACCAGTCATCCCTATGAGGCACCTGGATCATTGTGTGCATGGGTTTGACCACTGGTACATGTTTAACATTTGTACATATAATTTTCCCACAATATATATTTTCAGCTGTACACTTTACATATTCCTGGTTATCTGAAGTGGGAAGGCCACAGTTTCCAAACCGGTCCCCTTTAGTGTTCATGGAAATGTAACAGTCTTCTGGGGCTGACCTTGCAGGGTATCCAAAAACATTTACACATTGAAAATCAGCAGTCTTGCACAGACCTTCAATGCAATAGTGAACTCGTTCACAAGGTGTACCATCTTGCTTGTATGTGTTGGTGGGGCATCTGTCAGAGTTACCATCACAATACTCTGGGAGGTCACACTCTCCAAAAGCAGAACGACACATGATTCCTTTTTCTACAAATCCACACGTTTCATTACAGCAGGGTCCAGAACTACACAGTGCTGTTGCCTTCAGCCTACATGTTTCGTCACAGCACAGGTTATTACCACAATCAGGTCCACAGTCACACTCCTCGTACATCTCCAACACACCGTTTCCACACGTGGCTTGCCTACGCAGGCGACCTTGGGGCTGGGGCTTGTTAAACAGGCAGGCCCCTTTGTGTTCCCGGAGGAACTGGTAGAAGTGGTCAGAGCTGCAGTTGCTGAAGCCACTTTCTTTAGTGATGTTTTCACGCATGAGGCAAAAGCGTTTATCTTTACAAGTGCAGGCCGAGTGGTCGTGCTGAATACCCAAGTTGTGCCCAAGCTCATGGGCCATGAGCGCCGCAAACAGGAGGACGTCTTCATGGTGGAAGGATTCAACAGCGGCTGCAAAGCCTCTTGAACAGGCACCATTGAGAAATGCCTGTCCCACATCGTCTTCAGGATGATGTCCCACGATCATGTGGGCAACATCGTGCTTCACCCGGGGGAAGAGCTTCTCCTGTCTCCAGCTATTGAAATTCCTCAGTGTAACTCGCAAGTCCGCTGGGACTTCTATGAGGTCCCCCTCGGTCCAGATCTCCATTCCAGCCAGCACCACCTGGGTGTTTATGCCCCGCGTGAAGATGTTGGCCAGAGCGGTGATGTCCATTACTCTCTGGACCGTCTCATCGACGTTACTGCCCCACATCTGGAAGCGCAGGTTGCTGACCACGACAAACATCTCCACGTACTTGGTGTGTGACCAAAAGGACGGCAGTGCCTGTAGACTGCGAGGCTTCCTGCTCCCTTGTTGCCGGCTGGTGGACACCACTTGGCTGCCTCTGGAAGTGACGCTGCAGGACACTCGAGCTTGGGGTGCCATGGTGTACAACACATGTTCAAACCGTTCTGAGGTGTCCGTGGGCTCAATGCCATAGGGTTTCCCCTCCTTAATCAGGATGCCCCTGAGGCCTGAACAGGTGTTGAGGGAAACAAAAGAACCCGGGACTCCTTCTATGTAGCCTTCGTAGTGACAGTCATGAGAGATGAAAGGCACTTCTTGCCCCAGGACCCCATTGTGGTAGCTGAAGACTGGAAAGTTATTCACAAAATAGTCTCTCTTCACCTTCAGTTGAATCACCTGCTTCTGGCCCTGCATTAATAGTGTATAGGATGCCTTTTCCCCTGGGTCTTCCCTTCCCTTGACTGTCAGACTCTTGGGGATGACTGTTTCGTAAGAAGAGTAATACACAGATCCAGGGTCACAGTACAAGCCTGGCAGGAAAATCAGTACCAACACTAGCATGATCCCCAACCTGACACACGAAGGTCCCGGCACTTCTGGTGCTCGCCTCCAGCCCTTCATTTGTGGAGCCCAGGCCGGAAGCACTCTGCCAGCCCCACAGGCAGCCACTTGGTATTTCTGTAGAGAAGACGAGGAGGAGGCAGACTGTCTCAAAGAAGCTGCCGCTGACATGGCCGTTGGGAATCGGTTGATGGTGTGTGGCCTGTGTCCATCAGTAGCAGCTGTCCCTGACACAGAGACCCTCAGGCGTTAGCTCCAGATCTATGCTGGCCGCATAAAGGGTGGCTGCTGCCTACCTGAGAGAAGCACAGCCTCTGGCTATGTCCTTTTTAGTCTTTCCGATCTGTTATCCTTCAGGTAGTGTCCTTTCTATGTGACTTCTTCCCCAGCATCAACTTCAGTGCTCCCTGGCTAAGGTCCTTTTGACATCGTGGACTGATGTACTCATGAAGGACTGCAGGTGCTAAAATGCAAGACCCTGCCTGGAGAGTGGAAACAAAACCTCCATGCCTTCTCAACTGTGCCGCACGGAATGCCCCACCCCCGCCCCTGCTGTCGTCCGTTGCTTGGCTCACTCCAAGTGTTCCAGACCAGGGGGCTTAGACATCTTGGGAGGCACACTCTGTTGCTCACTTCCCCTCCTTTAAAACTCTTGCTCCGTAACACACGGACATCATAACTCAGATTGTTCTTTGTCCCTGGATGGCATTGTAGAGATATGCGTCACCTCACAGGCCAGTCTGTTAGAAAAGGCAAGTGGAGTGGCAGCCCTGTGCCACAAGATAGACCCGAGTGCGCCGGTGACTCCCGGGGCAAGGGTCAATACCCCTGTGTTTTAACACCGTCAAAGTTTGATTTCTCACGTTCTGTTTATAACACTGTCTAAACGTGTGTATGGGGATGCCAGTAGAGCGGCCTCCCCTTCTGGGTGAGTACCATGGGCCCATTGGTGGGTGAGTCCAGGCCCACACTCTTCACAGGATGGCCCTGACATTCTGGTATGCTAATACTGTGCCTGTTGTAAACTAGGTATCCTGAAAGTCTCTCCTGTGTTAGAATACGGCCTCCGTGTGTTCAGTGACCAGTTCTGTCTGTTCTTTTTTTTTTTTAAGATTTTATTTATTTATTTGACATAGAGAGAGAAGCAAGAGCGAGCACAGGCAGACAGAGTGGCAGGTAGAGGCAGAGGGAGAAGCAGGCTCCGTGCCAAGCAAGGAGCCCGATGTGGGACTCGATCCCAGGACGCTGGGATCATGACCTGAGCCGAAGGCAGCCGCTTAACCAACTGAGCCACCCAGGCGTCCCCTGTCTGTTCATTTTTATTATACCCTCAGGTCTAGGAGAGTGCTTGTCCGAAAGTAGACAAACAAGAATTATTTACCAAGTGAATAAATGACTCCCAGGTTATGAGTGCTGTGATGTCTCATCTGTTATGTGTTATTTGTTTGTACTTGCTTGTACAAGTACTTGTTTGTACTTGCCTGTCCTGAATGGCTAAAAATGTCTTCAGGAAAACCCACAACCATGCTGACTAATGGCACATTTGTGATCTCAATATGTACCTCTTCCTACATTCGGCCAGCAGGTCACTCTCCTGACTTCTTCCGGCCTCACCTTTGGCTGAGAAAAATAGAAGCAGTCCAAAGAGTGCTTCCACGTGTTGGTGCCGGGTGAGCCCCCCTGTGTCTAGATCTTCCTCCTACTATGGTGGATAAATTGTCCATGCTCCAGTCGAAGTCCAGTCCCTCTGCTTGCATGCGGAGTCTCACCCTTTTTAATTTCTCGTGGACTTTGTTTGCTTTTCCAGTTGTCCCTTCTCCCTTTTCCATCTTAAACAATAAGAAATAAGAAACAAACATAAGAAGTCAAACAACAAGTAAAACAACAAAACAGTAAACTAAATCCTGAGTGTATTTTGGTTTGTTTCTTAAAAGAAACTAGATCTCAAAAACAGGAAAGAAAGAAAAACTTACATATATATTTTTGTGTATCTTTGTGTGTATATGTATCTCAATGTGTAAGTGTAGGCCTCAAATAGGAAATAATGAAAAACTTTTATATATAAATATATATAATAAGTACAATATTAATTTATATATAAATATATATTATTATATATAAACGTATATATTTATACAGAAATACAAAATGCATATGTAAATGTAATATATAATATAATATAATAACATATGTAACATTATATATAATAAAATTACAATAAAATACAACAGAAGGGAACATAAATAAAGTATATATCACAAACTTTAATAAGAACCAAAAAAGAATTTTAAAAAATAAGAAAATACCTGAAAAGAGTAAAACTGAAAGACTAATGAATACTAATTATTTTTAAAAAGCTGTGAATGCTCTATACTGTCTTTCCCAAAAGCTGAAGTTTTCCAGTTCCCTATAATGGGAAACCTTGGGGCTAGCGAGTTGTTCCGGCTGGTCTTCTGGCAGAGGGGTCTGTTGCAGGCATTCTCAGGTGTCCTTGCTTGGTGGAATTGCACTGCTATTACCAGGGGGCGGGGCTCAGTGCAAGCAGCTCCAGATCGCACTGTGTTGCGCACCGTTTTGTTCTCTGAAGGCCTTCAGCACCGATGGGGTTGGGGGTATGGATATGGCCGTGCCCCGATCTCTAGCCACCACCACCCCTCCCCCCCCCGCACTCTTCAGGGAGCCCTCACGGGTGCAGTGAATCACCTCTTGTCTTCTTGGTTTCCGACGGAACTCTTTGTTCACCCGGCCTGTGACCGAGCATTTTTATCTCAGGCACCCACCCAGCTCTGAGTCTCCAAACTTGACAGACTCCTGCAGTGCGAACACATGCCATTTTTCCCAGGAAAGCGGGTGCGGACCTTGCTGTACTTCTGCCTGTTGCAGTCCCCTGCCCAGAGAGCAGTCATACCACCATGAAGCAATTCACAGTTTATGGCAATACAGAGCAGAAAGCTGGCTGCTAGGCTTGCTGTTTTCACCTGGCTTCCCGGCTCCGATCCCTGAAAATCCTGCCACACTCTGGCACCCCACTTTCTTCTTGTGACCTTGGGGATCCCGGGGCCACGCTATCCGACGTGGGATTCCACCCCGTCTCGCCACCTGAGCATCTTTAAGCCAGGGACATCCCCCACCGTAGCAGATTTCTAAAAGTTCCGATTTTGTGCTCCCCTGCTTATAATACTTCGAGGGAGCTTCCTTAAGCAGGCTTCCTCCCTCCGCCCTATCTACTCATCTATTGCCCCGGATTCACGTCTTCATACCTCCTACCCTCCAAAAGGTGGTCACTTTCCTATTTGTAGAATTGCAGCAATTCTTTTCTCAGAGCTCCGATTAATTTTGCAGGTGTTCAGAATGATTTGGTAACTATGTAGCTGAATTCCAGGAACCAGACGAAATTAGGGTCCCCTGCTCCTCTGCCATCTTAACTTCTCCTCTGTGATTTCCTTTAGATGAGGTTCCTCAAAAGGTCTAGTTCATAGAGAAAGTAGAATAGAGTTGACCAGGAGCTGGGGAAAAGAGTGACTGGGAGTGATTATTGTCTGATGGGTACAGAGTTTCAGTTTGGGACGATGACAGGTTCTGGAAATGGATGGTGGTGAAGGCTGTCCAGCAGTGTGAATGTACTTAATGCTACGAAACTGTACACTTAAAAAACGGCAAAGACGGTTAATTTTATGTGATGTATATTTTACCAAGGGAGGGAGACTGCTGAGTAGGTACCACCCGAATGACGTAATCAACAGTTTTAGCTCTGTAGAAATCACCCATGTGCCGTTGCCAATCACAATACACCACATTTTGCTTATCCATTGGTCATCCATCGATGGACATTTAGGTTGCTTCCGTGTTTTAGGTATTGTGAATAGTGCTGTTGTGAACACGGACATACCAACAGCTCTTCAAGACCCTGCTTTCAGTTCTTTGGGGCGTATACCCAGGAGTGGAATTGCTGGTTCGTATGGCAAGTCTATTTGTGATCTTTTGAGGAACCGCGACGCTGTATTCCACAGCCTCTGTACCATTTTACATTTTCACTGGCAGCACACCTGGGTTCCAATTTCCTCTATGTCCTCACCAACACAGGACGTCTTATTTTCTGTTTTTTGGACGGTAGCCGTCCTCATGGGTGGGAGGTGGTACCTCACTGCAGTTCTGGTTTGCGTTTCCCTCATGATGAGTGATGTCGAGCGTCTTTTTACGTGCCCGTAGGCCATTTGTGTATCTTCTTTGCAGAAATGTCTCTTCAAGTCCTCTGCCCATTTTTTAAAAAATATTTTATTTATTTGACAGAGAAAGAGAGAGATCACAAGTAGGAAGAGCAGCAGGCAGAGAGAGAGAGAGGGAGGGTAAGCAGGCTCCCCGTTGAGCAGAGAGCCCGATATGGGGCTCGATCCCAGGACCCTGAGATCATGACCTGAGCGCAAGGCAGAGGCTTAGCCCATGGAGCCACCCAGGCACCCCTCTCTGCCCATTTTTTGAATCCGGTCGTTCCTTTTGTTGTTCGTGGTGTTGAGTTGTAGGACTGTCCCTGTATATTCTGGATATTAATCCCTTATCAGACAGACACTTGATTTGCACATATTTTCTCCCATTCTGTGGGTAGCCTTTTTCCTGTGTCAGGAGTGGTTTTTGATGCACAAAAGTTGTAAAGTTTCGTTCAGTCCATTTCGTCTGTTTCTTCTTGTTGTTGTTGCCTGTGCCTTTGGTGTCCCATGCCTCAGAGGGACCTTGGCCAAATCCAGTGCCGTGAAAGGTTTCCTTATGTTTTCTTCTAAGAGTTTATAGCAAGGCAAGTCCTGTGAAGGGGGATTTTCTGGGGAACTGCCAGGCGTAAAGGTAGTAACAGCTCTATGGCCATGGTGCTTTTGAGGGGGCTCTGAACTGTCCTGCCCATCCCACTGGGTGTAGGCTGCCTGTTTTCACAGCTACCCTGGTTGCTATGATGCAGTTTTTCAAAGCTAGTGGGGACCTGAGGGAGAGGGATATGGGACTAAGGCAATTAAAACTTGACATAGCTCAGTGCTCTTACCAAGATTCAGCCGTTTTATACCCATTTTTGAACAAACAAGCTTCGCTGGTTCAGTGTCTTGGATTAATTCCCACACCTCCAAAAGGTGGGTTTTGACTCTTTTTGCCTGTGAGGGAACTGTTTTTATGGAGGAGGGGATTTCTGGAGGACCTTATTTTAA